ATGTATGTATATATCCGATAGTACATGTATATACATACAACAAAATGTAAAAATGTAATTACTTCAGTTTGACACTAAGGAGAAATGTCCTTTCTCCACGGTTTCCTCGTTGGTGGTAGTAAGTGTTACAGAAGAGAAAGATGACCTTTCTTCAACGGTTTTAATACTAGTGTAGAAACAAAAAATGAAAAAAAATCATTTTTTGTTCATCTAAAAAATTTCATCTAAAAAGATGCAATTTGTTTATTAGAATCTGGAATTATTTGCAACCAATGTCGGTAGTAAGACAGTGGGTAATATAACTGCCATAAATCAGAATAATTGTAGGCACTCCTTTTTTTATGGCATAAGCCGGTAAACGAGTAGACGGATCACCTGAAAGTAAGCAATCGGCGCCGCCCATGGACACCTAAAACATCAAGGCGTTACAAGTGCGTTACCGGTAATTTGAGGATTGTGGCGGATTTGGGGATTGGAAATACTGGAGAGAGAGGGGGGGGGGGGGTAATTGAGCCTCCGGTAACCTCACTCACACGACGAAACACAACGCAAGCGTTGTTTCACGAAGTTGTTTTCTGGTCGAGCCGGTTCATTTGTATCGAAATATGGCTCTCTCACACTCCTTTACAAAACTACTAACATATTTTTACCAGTGACTCAAGACTCAACACTAAAAACAGTCTTACTAAGCTCCCCGCAGCTACGAATATAGCACGTGTCTGTCAGAAGTAGTTTCGGAAATAAAATTTTAGAAAGACGCTGAGCTAGATGTGCGGTGTCACTCAAGATTTTATGTCCATCGTCTAAGATGGCCTTCCGAGACGGATGTTCGTGCTGCTAAGTTAAAAAGGTTTTATTGCGCTCTCAGTGTGTGAGAATTTTTGAAGGTTTTTGGTAAAATTGATTCTATAGTACTGTTTTATATTGCACATACGTCATCAGCCGGAGCAAACTGTTGAAAAAAGGTGCCGAAGGCGGTAGTGGCTATAATTGTATAATAATAAGCGATCAAAATTAGGTCATTGAATTCTTTGAGTTCTGTTCTGTATTTGCCCAACTTTTGGCGGTCAGTTGTAATTTTATAACATATCCTGGTCGAAGATAAACCAGATTTAAATGTTTTTTGTATAACTGGTGAGAAGTGGACGTTATAATATAATTATGACACAGAGCAGGCAGAGGGATCTGCCTACCTGTTTGGAAACTAAAAGACGTCATATTAAAATTTCCATTATCGTACCACAAGACAATCGGCGAAGCGTCACCGATTCATGGTAGATATCCCACCCACACGCACGAAGCGCTTCACATCAAGCTTCCTTGTGCGTACAGCTAAGGAGTGGCATTCTTGGCCAGAGTCTGTATTTCCTGAAGGGTATAACCTAGGTGTCTTTAAGGCCCGAGTGAATAGGTTGCTTATGGGTCGACGTGTTCACTCGTAGGCCGCATCATCGCTTACCACCAGGCAAGATAGTGGTCAAACGTCAGCCCCATCTAATATATAAAAAAAATGTAACAAATCATTGTTAATTTGCCTGCACTATAATATAATAGTATAGATAGAAACTCCGGCCATTATTTGGCCATACGACCTTCGGGCAAAAAACTTCCTCATCTCATAATTATATTGGCTTGCTTCTAAGAGGAATGGTGTCAAATTTTACGATGTCTTTACATTGTAAGTTGATCTTAGCTATTGTTAGAGGCTTTTTAGGAATTTTTAAAGTTTAAATCGACTAAATTTTTTACGTTATTTTTCGCAGTAAAATAATGAGTGCGTACTAAAACGGGCGGCAATTACCATCTCTTAAAATTGTTACAATCTTACTTTGTGTATTTTTTTACACGTGAAGTTTTTATTAGTTTTAATATGTTGATGTATGTTTTTATGTAATGTTTCATTTTTACTCGTGTTTTTATATGTCATATAAACCATGTTTTAAATAGTAAAAATATCTACAGTTGTTCTGTTGTTAAAATTAGAACATACATAATATATATATAACATCATGGCTTTAATCACCGAAGGGGTAGGCAGAGGTGCACATTTTGCCACTGTACAATGTAACACCCACTTTTCACTATTTATGTTATGAGTCCCATGTAATAGGGGTTGAGCTTATTGCCATAATTATACCAGACACAATTCCAAACTCCGTGCTACTACTGAATTTTTTTAAAACCCAGTATACTTTGCCCGACCCGGAAATCGAACGCAGACCCCTTACCCGACAGTCTCATTTGCCAGCACTCAAACAACGAGGCAGTCAAAAATTAGAATGATATTTCTATCACTCTTTCAAAGCTAAATTCAATTCACAGAGGATCAGTAAATCTAAAAATCAACTCCAACCACGCAGTATCCAAGAACTGAACATTTAAAACAAACAAAACAGGCAAAATCATGGAAAAAAATAAACATAAAAGCCAACTTCATCCATTAGATTACTTAAATGCTCGAAAATTCCCCAAAGTAAAGCAGGATTTGTTTCCAGGGATGCAATAAAAGGCATTTTGGCTTCCATTATGTTCACCAAACATTGCTTCGGGGATACACGGCAAACGACAATTCTTATGTCACAACTTTACTGTTGATTGTATCTGTTTTTCTAATATGGGTTTTAGGAGGTTGAATATAGGATGCTAATTTGAATAATTTAGTCAACCATTCTGTGTAATACTTTATTTGCTTATTAGTTAATGAACCACTTTTGTCCTTTTGTATTCAGGACAACTTGGAATGTATTTCTTTTTGTAAGGGGCGAAAATCATCGAATGACTGCTCCCGCCTGGGTGAGGCGGGAGGGAGTGTCAAACTCTTACTGACTAAAAACCACCCCGTTCTTTCTCCTGCACGTCGAGCCGGAGCCCCGGTTACCCGTTAGGTTCTCCGCGACTCCGAACTTGAAATGTATGTAATGTGACTTCAAGTTATCTGTAATGAATAGGTAATAATGATTCTATGATCAAAATAGTCTGCGTATTCTTCTGGCTAACCAAATGACGATTAAAAGATGGCAATGTACTGTAAGCGAAATTATTTGAAATAAAAAACGTAGTTGATTCAGTGTAGAGATAGTAGCTATGGTTATACTAAAATGAATGGCAATTAACGAAAGTCAAATCTATTTAATTTCTATCCATTAGTCATTTCAATAAATTTCAATCATAACAATAGTCATCATGAGCCCCAATTGATGGGCAAAGGCGTATTCTTACACGGAGAAGGAATGAACAATAGTAACCACATTTGCTCAAGGCTGTTTGACGATATCAAACTTATAATTTAAAATTGTATGGAATCTTCGTAACAAACCGCGGAAGGCCGAACGGGTTGCCGGGGATCCAGCTCGACAAGCAAGAGTAGAAACGGAGTAGTTTTTAGTCAGTAAGAGTCTGACACTCCCTCTCGCCTAACCCAAGGCTGGAGAAGTCGTAGGATGATTTTCACCCCTCAAAAAAAGAAGTCTTCATGATGCTTTCCTTCATCATTTGTGAATAGTGTCTAAATGACCTTAGGAAGTAGATGTCACCTTGTTTTATGAGTGTCGATAGCAGGTTCTACAAAAACTCTAATTTAGTAAAAACTTGGGTCTAGCTTTTTTCGTTACAGGCTGAAAATAAGGCGATAAAACAGAATTCAATTTCATAGCGACCTGGATTCAGTTCGATACCGGGTATCCTAAAAATAGAAGTTAATATATTGAAATCTTTCTGATTATCCCTTTTGTAATCTTTTCAGTGAAGATTTTCAGTGAGCAATTTGTACAAAATACGGTATTATTCTATGTACTTACTCCTACGATTGTACTTTGATGGGATAACTAAGGATATATAGGTATTGTTGTTAATATTCAAGGGTTTGTTCGACGTTAGAAGATGAAGCGCATTTTGTTATGGGATAAGATAGGCAGGGTGCAAACGTAACGCTTCTATTTTTTAGAAAGCAAACAATAAAATTATTTATGTTATAACTTTCGTGAGTCATATATTATATATATTTTATATACATAAAAAATATTAATTACGCATTTATGATGAAAATAAACAATAAAGGATATTTCTTCTCTTTTGACGAACTACATCCTACTATTTTTTTGTTTAAAAAATGTCACTTGTCTATCTATGAATTTGAAATAGTTAAAAAGTCTGTAATTTTGTAACTCATACAACAATAAATAATTCATCAATAATGATATTAATGATTGATGATAAGTGCTAAACGCTAGCGGCTCCCCATACAAGCGCAAACCTACATTATAATAATACTAGGTACTTACAAGTGTCTACAAAACTAAAAAAAACTTTTCGATAACACGAGGAGGGACGAGCAGTGCAAGCTGACGTAATATGAACGAGACACCGCTATATCCGTCTCTTTTACTCCCCACGATCGTGAATTGATTGTCTCGTTCACCTTCTACTGCGCCAGACGTAATTCGGATACATTCTACGACGCAACAGCTTTACATCGCGAAGTAAATGTTATTCTACGTTTTTCTGTATTCTGTTTTATCTTTGGGTATAAATATTTATCTTGATTTAATACGGAACAGCTTAGGTTAACATATTTCGTGGCTATGAAAGACAAAATATGTGCATGTACTTTCCAGTGAGACTATTATTCCGATCGTGTGTTTATCCGAACGCGTCAGTTTTGTGTCACCGAATCTGTGTCAGTACGTACAGTAGCATAACAAACCCGACTGAATTGTGTACATAGTGTTTTGTGTCTAGTAATTAATCTACTGAATATTACGAGCTTCCAGTTTTTGTGCACAGTGTTGTGTTGATGGAAAACGAACATTGACTGTCAGAAACAGTTTCACCTTGGTATTAATTTAGTTTCAAGCGGCGCTTCCCAGAGCGAGTATTTGTTTACTCTATCCAGTCTTATCGGTACTGATACAAGTGCAGATATCGTGACCAAATTTCTATATGCATTTGTAGACACGCTTAATCTTCGGACGTTTGTGACTAAAGAAAGAAGTTAAATAAAAATGGGTATATTTTGCCAAATTAACTTGAAACAGCCACCAGAAGGAGTATACCATGGAGGGGATCACGTCTCAGGAATGGTCAAGTATGGAGTGGACGAACCTATGGAGGTTGAGAAAATTACTATATCATTAAAAGGAATTGGCCGAGTGATATTAATGAAGAAAAGTGGCAAACACAACAGAAGATTTGATGGCAGGGAAGTGTACGTAGATACTGACCACATATTACCTGAAGGTAACTGTACGTTGCATGGAAGCTATGAGATACCATTCAGCTTCAGATTACCCGAGAAGATACCAAGTTCGATAGAATACACGAAGCGCCAAGGCCACTATCGCGTTAAATGTTACATCAAATACTACATTCGACTGAAATTCGAAAAGCCAGGCTGGTTTACTTTCGATAACCATTTCCGAAAGAAAATTACCGTAGCCTCTCCTGTTGCACCTGAGATGTCCATGGAACCCATTATTTATGGTGAAAGAAGTCAACTACTGCAGCTGTTCTCGAGCAAAACTAGTACATTAATAATGAAAGCTGAAATTCTCAACTCCGTAATTCCAAAAGGTGGTAAAATTGAGATTAAATCGGAAATACAAAATGATACTAATATCGTAGTGAATAGTGTTAAAATTCAATTGATGGAGGTGGTTAAAGTTAAACCAAAAGGACATGGAGAAGTGAAGTTCTATGATGAAGTACCTGAATGTGAGAGTAAGACAGGCACTATACAGGCAGAAGCGACTCAAAACATGCCAATTGATATTATAGTACCTGAAAGTAGAATTTCTTTACAAAATTCTGATATAATATCTCGAGATTTTGTTGTCAAAATAACTGTTGATCTGCCGATGCCTCATAGAGATGTAGTTCTAGAGATACCAGTTCAGATTGGAGATTATTATGAGCGAGCTAGTCTGTCACCCGAATTACCCGACAAAAATTGGATGTCTAGGGTTGGTGATGGGGCATCAGCATCAAGTGCTGCTGATGATCCTCCACCCACTTATTGGGAGGCGATGGGTGAAGGAAAGAAAGATGACGAATCAAGTACTGATGATGATAGCGATGACGAAAAGGGAGGGAAGTCTTAATAGGGTATAATTTTAAATGACGGTAATTTTGTGGCTTATTTTATGTACTGATTTTATATTTATTATCTTTGTAGTGCCTATTTAATTGTGCCTAATACGGTAATTGAGATAATAAACAATTTTGTAAATTAACTAGCGACCCGTCGCGATTCCACTCGGACGCCATTTCGGCAATATCTCGATTTTGTACTTAAGAAACTTTCATCAATAATAAACAATCGAGTAGGAATCATGAAATCGATTTAGGCATTCCCGAGTTTTGCACTTAATAACATATTTTTTATTTGTATAGACAGAATAGGTATGTGGAATTGTACTCTGAATGCGGAATGTTCTGGAACATGTTTCTTAAATTGTTTCGTTACGTAATATGCTGTAGATATATTATAATGTGCATTTATTTTTTATTGTCTGTCTCGTTACGAGTTGTGATGTGCGTGCGAGTCTGCCAAACAAAATGTTAGCGTTTCGATTGACTTTTTTTATTTATTTCTTAAAACTGAATGAATGAATGAATTGAAACCAATTAAAAAAAATCTCTTCAGTAACAAAAATGTTTCGGCCTTTTACACAATACAACATTTTTGATAATTTATTTATTTTAAGATACTCTACATAATTAATTTTTGATATATTTGATAGTAGAGACTTAATTTTTCGTATTTCCTAAATAATGTGCACGCTAATTGACGCACAATAAATAGGTAAGACGTCACAAGACAAATCTCCAATATTAATTATCGTTTTGACATTGAGAAAAAAGTATTGATAAAGTAGTTTTCATAATTTATTACAATTGAATAATAATAATATTAAAAATGTTGGCCATAATGATATCCTTCTAAATGATATTTGAATACGACTTAAAATTGAATAGAATTTTAGTATTTAGGCGTAAATCTCACAAACTAATTGGTACATACTAATGTAATTGTAATTTGTAATAATGAATTTACCTGTCCATTTATCCCCAAGCGGCCACCGGTGACCGCCCCCACCCGCATTATAGACCTTATTTCCGATGTTTAGAGACTACTTTTGTATGAACAAATTTAGGGGATGACAACAGGTTAATGACGCCATATCCATTTTGTACCTCATTTCTTAAGTGATAAGATTTTAATTACATTGTTGACGTGTATGTTATAATGATGTAGTTATTAAAAATGTATTTAGTAAAAGTGTTTTGTTTTATTAATATTCTTTGATTTTTGAATGATTATTAATTGATTTTGTCATAAAAAAACGTTTATGGATTCCATTCTCGAACTAGGTATGTATGTAAACTATTGTCAAGATTTTTAGACATATTCCATAGATAGTTGTGCAGCCGTATAAATAAAAATAATTGTTGGGGATTCAGGGATTGGGGAGGGGATAATTGGGCCTCCGGTAACCTCACTCACATGACGAAACACAACACAACGTTGTTTCACGTCGGTTTTCTGTTAGGCCGTGGTATAAACTCCGGTCGAGCCGGCCCATTCATGCCGAAGCATGGCTCTCCCACACTTAAAACTATAGAGGTAATTTAATTGTGTATCATTTACAAATATTCACATACACATCACATTCAGACACAGAACAATTAAAATTGGATCACATAAAGAATATTGTTTCGTGTTAACTGAAAGTGTTGCACGTAGCGTAAAGTCAAAGTCACAGCATTTATTTCAATTAAACCATAAGTGTGAGAGAGTCATGCTTCGGCACGAATGGGCCGGCTCGACCGAAGTGATACCACGGCCTCACAGAAAACCGACGTGAAGCAACGCTTGCGGTGTGTTTCGTCGTGTGAGTGAGGTTACCGGAGGCCCAATTACCTTCCCCTTTCCCAATCTCCCCAATCCCTGAATCCCCAACGATCCTCAAACTCCTAATCCCCAAAAAGCCGGTGACGCACTTGTAACGCCTTTGGTGTTCCAGGTGTCCATGGGCGACGCCGATTGCTTACCACCAGGTGATCCGTCTACTCGTTTATCGGCTTATGCCATAAAAAAAACTTTTGAAACGTCGACAAATACAAAATAAATAATAGTCTGTCAGTCTGGCATTAGCCTAACCTCCGTTTCTAAGCTACTGCTCCAAACACGCAGTGGCCATTAAGACCTCTGTATACATGTGTAATAATATTATGACCTTCATAAAATTAAAAATATAGGGGTAAAGGTGAATCGAGATAGTCAGATTGTACAAAAATGCTGCTGCAGTTTATTTGACTTAATTTGTAATAACATAACATAACATAACGCCATTTATCCCCGAAGGGGTAGGCAGAGGTGCACATTATGCCACTGTATCTACAATGTAACACCTACTTTACACTATTTATGTTATGAGTCCCATGTAATAGGGGGTGACCCTATTGCCATATACCGGGCACAATTCCAGACTCCGTGCTACTACTGAGAATTTTTAAAAAACTCAGTAATACTTTACCCGACCCGGGAATCGAACCCGAGACCGCTTGCCCGGCAGTCGCATTTGCGACCACTCGGACAACGAAGCAGTCTTTGTAATAATATTGTAATTTGTAATAATAGGTACGTATGTAGGTATGTCGTCATCATAAGACGTTAACTATTAAGCAATGCCTTTACTTAGCATTGGGCTTATAGGCTGATGATGATGAGCATTGGCCTATCACAAGGGAGTATTAGAAATAATCGAATATGTCGTGGTGGCCCGGATGTCTAAGACGCCCGCTTCTGATGCATGATGGTGCGGGCTCAAAACCTGCCAACGACATGTACTAATGTGACTTTTTCCGACTCGATTTTTTATAAAACTTTACAGTGAGATTATAGTAAGATTTTCTTCTATGTCGTGGGTGTGTCTACAAACATACACATGCACGCGATACCCAGACCGAAACGACAATTTGTGGATCATACAAAAGAGTTGCCCAGCCACCGCGCCATCCGTGCTGTCGACAATCGCTCCGGGTGTAAATCCTATTGACTTACTGCTCCAGTGTAATATACAGTAATTGATTTTGCTCTCGAAATGCTCCCAATTTTTTAGGGTGCAAAGTAAAATATACCTCTCCATTTATAAAATAAAGATAAGATTAAAATACACACTAAAGTTTAATTTTTTGGTATCAGTTTTTCATAGCATACATTTTTATAAGCGCAGATGATAACAAAAGCTATTTGAGATATTTTGGGTATGTCAATGTCAAACAGGACAAGTCACAGACGTTAATATTAATCAAGTATTTAGACCACACGAAGATAAGGACAGAATTATACGTCTCTCTCTTTCAATCGTGAAGGACATAGTCTCGTCAAGTATGCTAAGTGGCTTCCTATGTCAAGTCTAGGTAATTCGGATACGTTATTTAGTAGCAATCTGGATGAATTAGATCGAAAATGCTTTGGAAGTAATTATTTTAAAACCACCACTAAAATGTTTATAAAAACCAGTTTCCTTGATCATATAAAATATCTATTATACAGTCGAAAATAACAAAAACATAACTTTAATCAAATTAAAGCGTATCAAGAAATATTTTTCGAACGTAATGTAGTGTGATGAATAGTGGAATATCCAAACGAATGAGTTATTTTGGGTTATCGAATATTTCAGTATTTTTGTCAGTGACTGCAGTTTCTGTATGTACTAGAGCTAAAGTAATTCCTGCTTTAAACCCAAGATTTAAAGTTGAATTTTATGTACAACCTAGTTCAAAACCGGTCGCAGATTTTTAATATGTAGATGAGAACATTTAGTGTGAAGCTAGGAACATAACGAGCCAGACTTAGTCTGAACATTGTTTTTATTTGACGTTCTCCAAAGTGTATCGTTTTCCGTACCTTAAAAACTCATGAACTATATTGAACCGTATGTGTAACGTCTTAAAGTTGTTACTACAATTAATAGTAGATAATAAAGTTTAGTGCTAAAAGACAAACAACACTGTGAACTAAAAGTGAATTAATTTGTTCAATAAATAAAAATGAGTGTCAATTGTGAGATTAATTTAAACAAAACTGGATCTTATCACGGTGGAGACGAAGTATCTGGCATAATAAGGTATGCATTAGACGAACCGATGGTGACTGACAGCATTACCGTCTCCTTAAAAGGAGGTGGTCTCTTGAAAATACAAAGACGACATCGCAACCGTACTAGAAGATACACCAGTAGAGAAGTTTACGTTGACATCGATAAGATAATGCAAGGACACTCCACAATCGAAGCTGGACAGCACGAGATACAATTCAAATTTAAACTACCAGATAAAATTCCACCAACATTCAATTATATAAAATATTACACAGTACACCCCATCATCTGCAAAATTAAATATTACATTCGTATGAAAATCTACAGGCCAGGACTGTTACATTTGACCAAACATTTTCGTAAAGAAATCAATGTCGTGTCTACATTAACTCCAACACTACCAATGGAGCCTGCAATGTATGGAGCAAGAAGCAAATTATTTCAACTATGTTCAAGCAAAACTAGCACAGTAATAATGAAAGCTAATATTCTCAATTCAGTAATACCAATCGGTGGAACGATCGAAATACAGAGTGAAATTGAAAACGATACTAATATTATAATAAAAAATGTTGAAGTTAAACTTTTAGAGGTGCTCAAAATTAAGGTCAAAGGAAATAGTGCTTTGAAGTTTTATGATCAAATACAAATTTGTGAAAGTAAGACTGGTTCTATACAAAGTGGTGCAACACAAGTGATACCGATTAATGTTGTTGTACCTTCGGATAAGACTACTATACAACATTCTGCAATGGTGTCAAGGGACTATACTTTTAGAATAACCGCTAATCTGCCATGTTTTCATGGACCTGTCGTATTGGAGGTACCTGTACAGATAGGAGATCTTCAAAAAGAGGAGCTGAATGATGGTCTACCTTCATACTGGGAGGCTATGGGTGAGGCTGAGAAGCATAATTCTAGTGATGAGGACGATCAGTAATGTTTTATGTATGAACCAGATTATAATAAAAACTTTATATTAACATGATTACCTGTTGCTAAGCGATTTCACGCATACTAATGTAAAGAAAATGTCATAAATATTACGTAATGTATTATATTTCGATGTTTTGGAGAAAATCTTAAGACCGTTAGTGATTTTTATGTTATACTTAATATATGTTTATATTTAACTGAGACTATTGACATTATTGTTATCAAACCACATGATCGATGAATCGAAATCATGACGTGTGTCTGTGGGTGATAGTAGATGCATGATTCACTTCTAACATAACATACATAACATCACACGTTTTATCCCTGAAGTGATAGGCAGAGGTGCACACAGACGTAACACCCACTTTTATTTATGTTATGAGTCCCATGTAATAGGGGGTGAGCCTATTGCCATATACCGAGCATAATTCCAAACTCCGTGCCACTACTGAGATTTTTTTTAAAACCTAGCAATACTTTGCCCGGGTATCGAACTCGAGAACCCTTTGCCCGGCAGTCGCACTTGCGACCACTCGGCCAACGAGGCACTCACTAATTCACGTCTAAATCTAATAGTGATAAAATAGAAATCGAATCTTAAGTTAAAAATTATACAAATATAAATAGATTTGGAATTTAATTGGTACAAATATCTCATTCAAACCAGAATTACGTGGACATATTAAATTAATCGAGGTCAGAGAAGATTGCGAAAACAATAGCAATTATTTTCCCAATACTGACAAAATTTTGGAGACATCTTGTTAGAGTAAACATCATAACATCACGCCTTTTATCCCGGAAGGGCTAGGCAGAGTGAACCTCTGCGACAAAAAGATAAATATTTCAAAGAAATTCAGATAATGTTGTGATAAATTAGTGCATACGATTACCGATTACTTATATATAAGATATTTAATAGTACTATTAATAAAAAATATAATTTAAGCACCAAAAGGTTTTTTTCATCTGCCTTAATAATCGACCTCTGAAACCTAAGTCTTATCTGAAACATAACATCACGCCTTTTATCCCCGGAGGGGTAGGCAGAGGTGCACATTATGCCACTGTACAATGTAATACCCTCTTTTCATTATTTATGTTATGAGTCCCATGTATTAGATGGTGAGCCTATTGCCATATACCGGGCAAAATTCCAGGCTCCGTGCTACTACTGAGTATTTTTTAAACCCAGTAAAACTTTGCCCGACCTGGGAATTGAACCCGAGACCCTGTGCCCGGCAGTCGCACTTGTGACCACTCGGCCAACGAGGCTGTACTGTTAGAGTATCCATGTATTATTTTAATTGTGATTTTAAAAAGATACACCGTCGCATTTAAAATCAATTTGCATACTCAAGTTTTTTTAAAACAAACTTGTTTTCTATTTGTATGTGCAATAAGATCCAAAATATATTTTTATGGAAATTCAGAATCATTATCAAACATTATGTTCGTTTTATCTACTGACATTGATCACATTATCATCCTCTCAGCCTGATAAACCGAAAGTCATGTCAATCTCTCAATTCGTTTGAATTGCTGAAAGTGTGTAAACGTAACCAAAATAAATAGATACATATATAATAAAAACTAGTTATAAAAAGAAAGACAATTGTGAACTATGAGTGTGTTTTGTCAAATACAACTTAATAAGCCACCAGAAGACACATTCTGTGGTGGAGAAGTGATATCTGGAATAATTAAATACTCACTCGATGAACCAATGGAAATAGAAAGGATAATTGTCTCCCTAAAAGGTATGGGCGATTTAACTCTAATTAAAAAATACAATAAAAAAGTTAATTCATATACAGCTGAAGAAGTGTATATTGATGCTAATGAAATTGTTCAAGAAAATAATTCAACAAAGCCTGCTGGTAATTATGACATCCCATTCAGGTTTAAATTACCAGAGAAAATTCCACCGTCATTAAAGTATGAGAAGATACATGGACCATACTGTGTAATTTGCAACATAAAATATTACATTAGAATAAAATTTGATAAACCAGGATGCTTAGACCAGTCCAAACATTTTCGTAAGAAAATCACAGTAATTTCACCTATAACTCCCAAATTGTCCACTGAACCGGTGATGTATGGAGAAAAGAGAAAGTTGCCGCCATTGTTTCCAAATAAAATTAGTACAGTTGCAATAAAAGCAAATATCCTTAACTCAGTAGTCCTTAAAGGCGGCAAAATAGATATTGAGTCAGAAATTGAAAATGATTCTTATGTTAAAGTAAAAGGAGTTGAAGTTAAATTGATGGAGGTCTACACACTTAAGCCTGTAGGACATGGAGATATAAAGTTTTACGATAATGTGATGAATTGTGAGAGCAGAACTTCGTCTATTAAAAGTGGAGCGACTAAAATCATACCTTTAGATCTGATTGTTCCAACAGATACATTATCTTTGCAGAACTCTAAGATAGTATCGAGAGATTACGTGGTTACCATAACAGCTCAGCTTCCGATTCCTCTTAAAAATGTCGTCTTAGAAATACCAGTGCAGATAGGAGATCATATGCCAGTGGAACGTCCGGAGGTGACTGAAAATCCACCAGCGTATTTTGAGGCGATGGGTGAAAAAGAAAGCAAAGTTGAAGGTGGTAATGACTAAACAGACACTCTCATTCTTTGTATCTGATCTAGTGATGACGAAAGGGACAAAACCTAAGTATTCAAATCCATAATAATCGAAGGTTCATCAATAGCCTATAAATGCCCACTGCTGAAAAGGCCTCTTCTCACACGGAGAAAGTTTGTAGCTCACGATGTTTTCCTTCACTGTTTGTCAGTGATGTCTAAATAATCTTAGAAAGTACATACATATAACATGGAAAAAGTCACATTGGTACTTGCCATGGGTAGGTTTCGATCCCGCACCCTCAGCATGAGAAGCAGGCGTCTGAAAACCTCCGGGCCACCACGACGTAATTAGAAGTAAGTAGGTTGTAGACGTGTATCTCATTCTAATAAGCGTAGACATGTAATAATTAACAAGATAATTATTAACAATTGCTATGTTCTTGATATTAATATAACTAGAAAAGTAGGTAGGTAAGTATTTTAGGTATTGTTGATTGTGGAATTTAAGATAGGATTTTATGTTTACTCCTTTGCGACTTTTGTCAATCTTCTATTTTGTTTTCATGCCAAATAAGATTAACAATTGATTGTATTTGGGACATAGTTAAGTATATATTTTCAATCAGATTAAATGTTATTGATACTGTGACCGTTTGTTTCATTAATTCTAAATGTCTATATCTATTCTCATGTAGTAGTTGTATCAAGTTTGTTCACCTTTACAGTCCACAAAGTTTTGGTCAATTTGTTTTAGATATTCGAATGGTCGAATCCAATATTTGGGTTGTACAAAAAGCACTAATGTGTTCTGCTGTTGAGAAACTTTAGGGCACCTTCTATAATAGTTTCGAATACAACATCTCTATCTAGATTTACTGTAATTATAGGTATGCAGTGGGTATGCATATCTCTGGTTTGTATTTGTTGTTAATAATCTTTCTTGGGTTTTCTTGAGCACCTGCGATGACTGCCATATTTTTTGTAGATAACAATAAGACAGATTAATTAATAGTTCATCAACTTTATCATTATCATCTGTTTTGTTCCAATGATCATTGCGAATCCAGTTATCTAATCAATGCTTTATTTTGGTCATTGCTTGATTATTAGAGTTCAAAATAATCTTATCGTTAATAACATAAATATCAGGTTGAGTCATATTTTGCTTTTTAAATTCACGTCTATCATTGGTAGAATCGTTGATGGAGGAACTCCTAAATTGATCATTTTATTCTTTTTATATATTTCTTGATCAGTATCTCACTTGATGGAAAGCGATGTGGCCTATGATGAAGCATGTTTGCCCATAAGCAATCTATGCACTCGAAATTTGAAAGCATCCAGGTGGTATCCCTTTGGAAACGCAGACTCTTGCAAAGCGTTCCTTTCCTTTGCTGATCGCATTAGAAAACTAAAACTGGAAGCGAAAGCGCATGAAGAGGGATTTGGGATAAAAAGTTCCTTGTCAACTATGGTAATTATTGATGGTCGGAGCATGATTTATTATAGAGCACTTTGTTAAGAGTTGATCGAAGGAAAATGTTTATTATTTGTATATCTATGTCAGATTTTAGGTATCTTGTGATGTTCACCAACCGTTGATGCTATTGATGACAATATGGTAGTTGCCAGGAAATGAAAATTAAAAATCGAATTAGTCCGTCATTTAGATAATGAAAAAATTTTAGATACGTATTCTTTTATTTTTTCGTATAAAGTAACTTCTTATATAAAATGGAGTTAAGTTTAAGAGTGGAAGGTCACGTTATGTCACCAAGTTCTACAAAATTTAGCGTATTGTGACGTCACACGATATTTCAGATTATTATATCGTCGAAAGTATTTAATTTTGTGAGTAAAGAAAAAATACGTGTCTAATGTTTTAAATTAGTCTACCAGACAGACATTAAAATAAAATTTAGACAACTACCCTATTTTCACATGATGCTGATCAAAGATGACTTTACACTTTCCAGTCAATCAAAAAGGCTTTATCAAAGATTATGAAATGCTTTTTGAAGATTTCAAGTACGCTACAACTATCAAGGACATGATGATTCATACTATATCACGTATATCTAAATACACTGTCATTTCTATAGATAAAGATTGTAATTTGGTTTTCCATCAGATACATAAAATAATAGTGTTCGGGTCAACCAGAGTGATACCACGGCCTCACAGAAAACCGACGTGAAATAACACTTGCGTTGTAATTCGTCGTGTGAGTGAGGTTAACGGAGGTAATTACCCTTCTGCCCCCAATCCCCGAATCCCCAATAATCCCCAAAAGTCTGGTAACGCACTTGTAACACCTCTGGTGTTTCGGGCGTCCATGGGCGGCGCACATGGCTTATCATCAGGTGATCTGTCTGCTAGTTTACCAGCTTATTACACAACAAAATATAGTAGGTATGGGTATTTCAGCAGAATACATTGCCTTTATATAAAGAATAATATACCTTTGTATAAAGATTAGCAGCATTACAAGCATATCAGTTTAGGGATTGACAAGTAGGTATGTAAGCAAACCAAAAGGTAAGAAATGTGTATAACTTAACACTGAAATCAAAGCAAAAGAAAAGAAAATATGTATTTTTTTTTCTTAAGCGGTAAAAATCATCGAATGACTGCTCCCGCCTAAGTGAGGCGGGAGGGAGTGTTCATTCCTTCTCCTGCACGTCGAGCCGGAGCCCCGTTACCCGTTAGGTTCTCCGCGACAAGAACATATGTAGGTATAAGAACAAATGTTATACTATTTAGATTTCTCTACGTCTTTCAATTGCTTTGATTTGATTAGATATATATGTTATGTCAAAAATTTATAACACATAATGAATTTCTATATAAAACAGCTGAGGCAGCTATTATGGACTGTGGTCCAACAGGAACAAATGAAAAGTAAAACAAAATTATCCATAAAACTAAATATATTTAATGCTCAAAATATCTGATTACGATTAATACACTTAAAATAACATCAGTCTATCTTTCTATTCTGATATTAGTGTTATTTATTACTTTATCTTAATCTCTGTCTGTCCTTTCCAAATAAAGTTTATTTGTTTTTCACCTAGCTTCTAGTTCTTTGTTGTGATTATCATATTCATCAAAATCTTTGTCCTCATTTGATTCAAGCCAATCAATATGTTTGTCATCAAATCTTTCATTGTTTTGTAAATGTTTGATTTTGATGACTTTTTGCATATTCACCTCAACATCTTCATTTAAGTATTTTACAGAACTTTCTTCGCTTTGATCATCGTTCGCATAGTTATCATTAGGTGCAGACAATACCGAACATGAAGGTTGTTCCCTATTATATTGGTAGTAAACTGCAGCTGGTGCTACGAGCTCATGTTTTCTTGGACCAATAGCCACCGGTATATCTAACACAGCATTGATATGAGGAAAGGGCACTTTAACTGTAAGCCTGATTCTGTATTCACCGGTCATAACTTTGGTATGTTGTATAGAACATAGATTATGATATGTCGGGACCACACATACAAGATTTGAAACTCCATTTGAAGCTACAGAAGCCATTGTACTTGTATTTTTACGATTTCTTCATTATGCTCCTTGTTATTACAGCTTGATATGTAAGTCAAACGTTTAATAAGTTCAGTTTTTATAAATACAACTAGATTTGAACCATTATTCACTGTAAGTATCATATGAATGTTGTCACCAGGACTTATACAAGTTTTGATTATTTCTCCTTTCACGTTGATTTTGTTGTTTATCCTAAAAGAGAGGGTTTTCTTCAAAGCAAATATCATTGGTTCCAGTGAGCATGGGTTCACGTAGCTAGTCACAGGTATGTCTACTACAAACTCCTTCTTCAACATAGAGTTTGCCTTCACGAATGATACAGTGATTTTGTATTCTATGGTGCAGGTATCATCGTTAAAAGACGGCGGTATATCGATGGGTAGCAGAAATTGGATTGGGTACTCAAAACCACCTGATATAAAATCTTCTCTGTTACTTAATATATTAACTGTCTGATTCAAATAAGTCTCTTCATTTCTATAGTAAACGGTGTTTTTATTAGAATCAGTTTCAGTCCACTCACATTCTCCTCTTCCTAGAAAGCACATGGATATTATTTTGTACTGCGTTGGTTTGTCTATAAAGTACTTCAATGTTCCTGTCACTAGTTCTCCTGCTTTGAAAACACCACCTTCAGTTTTGTCTAATAATATTTGGCACATTACACCCATATTGAGGACTGTAAGAGTAAACGACTGCACTGTTCCACTGACTTATAGTATACTGAGTCATACGGATGGAGTAAAATACTTTCATTTCAAAACAATGATATCAATATAAGATATGGAATCTGGACATATCAGAAAATGAAATGATTCATTTGATAAGTATGTATGTAAATAATTTTCCGTAATTTGTGTTGCTATATCAACCTGCCTTGTTGGTTAACGATGATGGAGTTTTATTTGATTCCCGGGTAAGATAAGGTTTAAAAGATCTTTCATTAACCGACTTCAAAAAAGGAGGAGGTTATACGTTCGGCCGGTATGTTGCTTTTTTTTTTTTTTTGTATGTATGTACGCGCATAACTCTGAGATGCGTGAAGCGATTTGCAAAATTTTTGTTTTGTTGGAAAGGGTATACTCCCAAGTTGGTCCCATTTTCATGAGGTCAGGATCTGATGATGGGATCCTAGGGAAACCGAGGGGAACTTTCGAAAATTATATGGGCGAGTGATGCGTCTATTATGTTTTTCAATTAGGATTTTTAAACACTACAATTTGATAAGGGTCTGGAGTCGACCTGATGATGGAGCCGATAGACAGTCGAGGGAACTCCTCAACGGTAAACAGTAACTACCTTGTGTTTGGGCTTGATTAATTTGTATTGATGAGGACTTTACACCTAGATAGAGTAGGGCTGTCATTAAGGGTCTGATGATGAAGAAGTGTAATTGGTAAGGGAACTCCTCAACGGTATACTGTAACTACCTTGTGTTTAGGCTTGTATAATTTGTATTGATTAGAACTTTGCACC